TGCAGCCAGGGTTCTGACAGGAAACAGTAAGAGAGATCATATTTCTACCATATTAGTTTCTCTTCATTGGCTCACTGTAAAATCCATCCATCCATCCATCCATCCATCCATCTTCCTTCACTTATCCGGAGTTGGGTCGCGGAGGCAGCAGCCTTAGCAAAGCCGCCCAGACTTCCCGATCCACACACACCTCCCTAGCTCTTCCGGGTGGGCCCCTAGGCGTTCCCAGGCCAGTCAGGAGACATGATCTCTCCAGCGTGTCCTAGGTCTTCCCCAAGGCCTCCTCCCGGTGGGACGCACCCGGAACACTTCCCCAGGGAGGCGTCCAGGAGGCATCCGGAAAAGATGCCCGAGCCACCTCAACTGGCTCCTTTTGATGTGGAGGAGCAGCAGCTCTACTCCAAGCTCCTCCTGCGTGACTGAGCTCCTCACCCTATCTCTAAGGGAGCGCCCAGCCACCCTACGGAGGAAACTCATTTCGGCCGCTTGTATCCGCAATCTCGTTCTTTTGGTCATTACCCAGATCTCATGACCATAGGTGAGAGTAGGAACGTAGATTAACCGGTAAATCAAGAGCTGTGCTCCCTTGCTCAGCTCTCTCTTCACCACGATGGTCCGGTACAGCGACCGCAACACTGCAGATGCTGCACCGATCCATCTGTCAATCTTACGCTCCATCCGCCCCTCACTCATGAACAAGACCCCGAGATACTTGAACTCCTCCATTTGAGGCAAGGACTCTCCACCGACCTGGAGAGAGCAAGCCACCTTTTTCCGGTCGAGAACCATGACCTCGGATTTGGAGGTGCTGATCCTCATCCTGCTCGCCCCACACTCGGCGGCAAACCGCCCCAGTGCACGCTGATAGAATTTAACATCCTGCTTTTAACATATAAAACTCTCAATGACACAGCTCCAGTTTACCTTAAAAAAATTATTGTACCGTATCATCCTAACAGAGCCCTTCGCTCTCAGACTGCAGGTCTACTTGTGGTTCCCAGAGTTTCCAGAAGTAGAATGGGAGGTTGAGCCTTCAGTTATCAGGCTCCTCTCTTATGGAATCAGCTCCCCGTTTGGGTTCTGGAGGCAGTTCCTTCCCAACATTGCCGACCACTTGCTCAGAGGGAGTCTGAAGGCAACCTTAGATTGTTGGATTCTCTGTTTAAATTTGTAAAGTCTGTCTGACTATGTTAAGTGCTACGTCATGACATGTGTTGTAAACTGTACTATACAACTAAAATTGAATTGAATTGATTTGAACTGAATAGCTGTGATCTCCCTTCAGTTTTGTAGAATTACTGTGTCAATTATAACTGTTAAAAAAAAAAGCATCACTTAATTTGCTCACATAATTTATTTAGTTAAAACAAAGCAACCATAGAAAAACATAAACTACAACAACAAACCCACTTTCTAACCTATACAACTACTTCTTTCATTTTTTATTTTAACAGACATTTATCATGCCAAAAAGATATGGTATGGTAAAGTTTGGTTTGACATGGCAGATATGTGATTCGATGAATATTGGTGGCATGTTACATTTCAAACAGGAAATTAAGAGTAAATTGCTGTGTGTGTGTGTTCATGTGATAAAAACAATTCTGTCTATCATTTTCCTCTACGTTCTCTCCTCTCCATTGAATGGACTGTATATTTTTGTTTCACTTCACTTCAAAGGGAGGTGCGCTTCTTAATTTGGGAAACTCACAACTCAGCGTTCACAAGCTAGTGAGTGGAGAAACAACAGAGAGTTAGTTAATTAGCAAACTCTCTCTCTCTGTGATCTTGAAGGTAAGGGGCATTAAAAATGAGGGATGCCTGGAGCTCCACAGAACATTTACACACAACTGATAAACAATTAACTTTCAAGATTTTAATGCAGAGCTGTGATAAAGCAAAAACAAAACTAACACTGTGACCAATATATAGTCAGAAACTGGAGCAGTAGCAGATGAAGATGAGCATCATTGGCTTTCTTCTGCTCCTTCTGTACCCGTATGTGGCACTAATTCACCAATTCTTGGCTTTATCAATCAATTGTTTTCCTCTAACCAAGGCTGTTTGTGTACAGAGACATGACAAATTAAGCCAGGTCAAACCTTTAAACTGTAAAACAGATATCCAAATAATATTCTAAAAGTCTAAAATGACTGAATTGGCTTTTGAAAAAAAATTCTGATGCAGTTTGCATTTTCTAGTACAATAAGATAACTGCAAGCAAAAGAGCTCATCACCTTCAAATTATAAAGTTCTATCTGACATTTTTGGCGAAATTGAGTTATATACATTTTCTGATTTTTGGACACATTTTCTGTACAATACTGTGTGTTTTGTTTTTTTTTTAATGATTTTTTTAGCTTTTAATTAACAAAAACAGATAGTTCTATCTGCGATTTCCACTCTAAACTGAGTGTTACAAAGTTCAATCTGTGTTGGCTAATCAGAACACAGAATTTACAACAATCCACCAATCACATTAATGCTTGCAGCTACGTAGCCAACTAGCATGATTTGACAGTTAATGGCAGCTTTCTGTCACCAAAATGTCTCAGTCAAAGAAGTTTAAAAAAGGACAACAGTTCAAGAAGTCCTAAGCGAGATTTTTCAAGACAGCAGCAAAACGAAGAGGTAACATATTTTTCCTATTTGTTTTTTTTTTGTTTTTTTTTATTGTTTAAAAGTTTAAAACTACCATTAGCCTATTTTGCCAAATTAGCTAGCTTAGCTAATCTTACTTCTGTAGCTTTGTTAATTATTTTTGATTGATTAAGCGACTGAATTTAATGTCTGTAATTATGAAATACATGCCCAACAACACTATTACAACTATAAGTCGATGTGTATTGAATTTATTATGTTTATAATTTAAATTTATGTAGTTATGGATTTAATGCACCCCATCATCATTTAACCGGCATGTTTTTAACGTTAACGTGTAGTTCTAGTTTCTTAAAAAACAAAGGTTAGTGTTTAAGAAAACTGCAACATGAAAATAATACGATTGAATGTAATGTAACAAAGATTCATGTTGCATTTTTTATTGTTAAATTATTGATCTGATTGTTCTGCTGTTTCGTAATTGTAATAAATTGCAATATTGACCATTGTGTGACCTTTTTTTTTCTTCTACTTAATTCACTGTTGACATTAAACCTGAGTTAGATAACAAGTTCAATTGTTATCTTACTGTTAATTGTTTTTGTTGTATATTTGTGATGAACGACACTTTTAAATGGGACTTAAACCCGTAGAGCCCATTGGGCAGTGTTCATAATATTATAAATAAGCAAAATAATTACATTAACTTTTCACCTATTTTTGAAATTTTTATTTGATTCACTCATGGTTCTATTCAAAGTTAGACCTGAAGATCTGGAGAGCAAAATTAATTAGCTATTGTTCAAGTTTAATACTGACTAGGGTTAGTTACACTAACGTAATAATTATTGTTGATCTGAAAGATTTAACTGAAGCATAATTGGCCATTTCTAATGATAAAAAATGAAAAAAAAACTTGGAAATGCACTTTAACTTTAAAAATAGTTGTTTGTTAAAAATGAGTTGAGTTCTGGTGCACAAGTTATTGTTTTTAACATGTTCTGCAGATAGAACTTTATAATTCCAAATGAAATGGGCCTTTTCAGAATTAGAAAGTTCTATCTGCAAAACACCCACTTCCTAAACTCCCACTTATAAATTTTCAAATAATTTCAAATTATACATTTAGACTCTCTTTAGTATGCCTATAGTTCTCAAGTATTAACACAATTTAATGTTCATTTCATTCTGACTATATGAGCAGTCAAAACTTTAAACGTAAATATCTCAAAACTACAGAGAACGCAGATAGAACTATATAATTCTAAGGTGACGAGCTGTTTCAGTTTAATTGGGACGAGCCTTGATGGAACTAAATAAATGTTGTGAAATCACCAAAAACATTTTTAATTTGCAAAAGTGGCATACAGTTAATTCAGAAAGTATTAAGACCCTTTTACTTTTTTCAAACTTTATTGTGCTATAAATGCAGTTTCAACAGGGTATAATTGGAAGTTCTGCACATTAATCTTTGGTGGTCCACATTAGATCTACTAGACTCCCTCTCGCGGATATCTAGTGGGACGGTGACAATGCTTTCTCCTAAGTGTGCTGACAGGACGCCGTTGTGCAATAGACATAAGGCAAATCCATGCACACAATTTACAAATCTGTGGGCACATATTATAAAACCATGAGCATAGTGTGTAATTTAGGAGTACAGATTTACACACAACTCTTTTTTTCTCAGCTGATGCTAGGGAGGCTTCAAAAGCATGCTCTAAAAAAAAAGTCATCTGGTGAACACCAGGCACTGTTCCTTTCCTAGTTAATTCCATTCCTGTTTTGATGCATGGCGGTTGATTTCAGTATCTCATTTTTAACAAATGCACAAACATTTCTAAAACCATGTTTCCTCTTATGGGATACTGAGTGTAGATTAATAGGTAAAATCGCAAATCTACAACACAATAAAGAATGCAAAAAGTGAAGGGGCTCTAAAGAACCACATGCAATCTGCATGTAAACTTCAATATAAAATACATAAACTGCACTTAATGAAATTCAACACATTCTACTGGGTTACACATATTTGTTTAGCAATTTTACAGATACAATGTGAATGTAAGCGGCTGGTGAGCTGTTTTCTTAAGGGGCCTTCATCTTTCATCATTCATTAAGCCCATCAGGTAGTAGTTATTGTCAAGTTATATTGCTATAATAAGTTAGAGGTGATTGCTGTGTGACTTTAAATGTTAAAGCTTAAGTGATTAACTTGCAGCTCAGGAGTCAGGTTTGCCTGACAGCCTGTTAGGGCAAACAATGTCCTCCAAGAACTCAGGTTCAGTATGGCCAAAGAAGCTGACCTGTTGTAGTAAAGGTTCTATGTTATTTGACCTGATTCAGAACACTGCTGTAGTTCAGAGTGGTGTTTTCAAATGTGTTAATCACACTCAAAAGAGTGATGATTAAAACTTGGGAATTATACTTAAGGTTTGGTCGCTATTTGAACAAATACTGTATTGTGAGGTTTTGTCAGAGTTGCAGCCTCCTTCAAATACTGCAGGTTGAATTAAGTCTTGAGACTACAAGACTGCGAAATTTCCTGGAGGGACTGACTGTTGATCCGCTTCATTCATGAATGTTTATGTTTCTTTCAGCTGACAATGTCTTTGTCCAGGCTGTCCAGTGTCACTACTGCGTCCTCAGCTGGTAGTCTGAAACAAAACACAATAGACAGTGTTGGGGTTATATGATGCAGCAAGTACAACAATGGTGTCGTTGTGCAGGGGAAATTAACATTTTGAAAAAGTATTTATATCGAACAATGTCAAACGGGATGCTATGGCATTTCTTGATGAAACTTTTCTGACACTGAGTACAACAATGAAACAAGTTGTAATTGCTAGTCCTAAACTCAGTCACACTTGTGAGAAATGAAATGAAAAATACTTTATTTATCCCAGAAGGGAAATTCAATAGAAGATAAAACAGATACTTGTGTGTCCAAAAGAATGAAGAATTTAAAATTCTGCTTCGAACAACTTTTCAATTGAAACCACCCTTTTCAACATTATTGAAGCTAAATCATATTTTTAATCTTTGCAGTAAAGAATTTTCAAGTTAAAAAAAATTTCATTCTCTTTTTCTACTGACAAGTTTGGGGTTTTTTTTGTGATTGTGCCTGATATTTTGTCTTCTGCCTATAATCCACTCCTAACACAGCCACAGAGATACAAGTGTCCAATTTGTGGTTTGTTTCTTGTGTTGGGTGAGTAGTTAAAATTCAAATGTGTTATAGCTTCACCCACCGAATTTGCCGTGTAAAATATGTTAAAAACTGTTACACAACCCTTTTCAGAATCCGCTCTATTGTCATTATACAACGTATAAGGAAATTGCACGACTTCTCTCCTTATATACAAATAACTGAGCACAACAGAGTTATATGTACAGAAAAATAGAAGGTTTAGATATAGAAGGTTTCTGTTGAATTCTGCAGAACAAAGATCTGCTGACATCTTTTTAGTTCTTCATTAATTTTCTACATTTCACCAGAACACAATGCGAAGTAGCACTACTGAAGTTCATCCAACTCATGAGTTTACACATCTGTCTGCAGCATATTTGTTTCATCTAAACTATCTGATTATTTTTATCAAAGCAGCTGAAGTATGTTTAGATATTACTTTCACTACCTTTACTTCAAGTTTTCCTCTTTTTTGTACAAGGCAGGTAGACCAGTGTAAAAAAAAACAAAAAAAGGTAAAATTCAGGAACTAGGGAAATGCAGAAGATAACACCCTCAGTGTCTGGTCAATTATGATCAGTCACAACACAAAAAAGCCCCAGAAATGGTTGTGTGCAGAACACATTTCCTGCAGTAGTGTCTTCTCTCTATGTTATCGTTTGTCTCAGTAGCATGTGAAGGAGTTGTGCCAGGCAACAATAGGCAGACCTTTTCACTGACTCAACACTATGACTGATCGCTTCCACCTTGAAACTGTAGTGTTAATCAAAAACACAGATTCTGAGTGGGACTCTGTATTATTCTGAATTAATTTCCTGCAGAACTGGTTCTGGGTTCATGTACACCTGAATTTCTCTAACATCACAACTTACTATGAGCTGTGCTTCCATAACCCGTTGCTATGTTAATCTTGAGGAATCACATTGGAAAAAGTTCATGGAAACAGCAAAACTTTAAAAACTACCTACATTTTGCAGAAATGTTTTACACCGGTTTGAGATTTTCATTTACTTTTTTTAGAAGAGTTCACCTGATACACAGTTGCATGACTGATCAGCTTCTTTTGTTGATACCAGCTGACATGACTGATTGGAAATGGTTCCTAAAGGGTTTTGGTCAATTTTTTCTTTTAGATGGACAAAGTTTTGTTTGCTTGTTCTTCTTCTTCTTTGAGGTTTTTTTCTGCGGTCTGGTGTTGTTTCTGGATTCTTCTACCCTGTTTATTACAGCCATACACAGTGCAGCCTATACTGCCACCTTCTGACAACACCACACAGCTTAGTTTATTTGTTCCAAAGCAATTGATAATACAAGCGTCATTCACATTTTTAAAAGGTTTTGCAACATTTTTAAAGTACATGGAGACACAGCTAGTGTGTATCATAGATTAGTGGCAGGATGGAACCCTATTCAAAGATTGAAACTTCTAAACATTTATATTTGTAAGCCCTATTCACACAAGATTACAATCACCAGGTGAACTCAAATAGTTTATACTATTGGCTGAGGTTGTTCATTTTCTTCATGACATGTCAATCTGCCGAATAAAACTCTAACTGCAAATCATGCACCATATTTCATCAAGCACACATTTTGTCATAATATTAGTCCCATGCAAATCAGTGTCTCTGGGGGGGGTTTGTTTTTTTTGTTTTTTGTTTTTTGTTTTTTTTTTGTTTTTTTGCAAGGCTTTTGTTTTTTTCTGCATCTTTCCTGTTTGGGAATTATGGAAGCTGCGTTGAAGATTTAGAAAGTTTGGAAAATTCAAAGTTTGGAGCATTTAGGGTGCAAATTTATGACACTGTTCAACATGTAGAAAGAATAAAGACATGAGGAAAGTGAAATCTTGAAGGATGCTTAGATGGATAACATGCATGGCAGCATGCGATAAGGAAGGTCTGTCATTCAGCAGGCTCCACAATTACTGTGTCTCATATTTAGGGATACTGTGAATAAATTCGAGTCAGACACATCACTCTTTGCTTTCCACTAAAAGTAATCACATGAGGTCCCTAGGTTATGGTCATCCTGTGAATAGGTCTTTTGAAATACAGCGATAAGGATTTAGGGATTTATTCAATGACCAGAGAGGTCAACAGTTCATCTTTTCACTTCATGTGTAGGCATTTCTTACAACTACTATCTGCCCTGTGCTGCCTGTTCAGGGTTTTGTTAACATAGACTTATCCTTGTATTTTTCACCGAGGATATTTATAGTTTTTATTTACTTTTTACAAGATTATTACTTGACTTTCACTGAAATGGTTCAAGTCACCTAAAGAGATACCACTGCAATGAAAATTGCAGATTGGGACCAGAATTATTGATAATATAATAAAATGATTTAAATGTATTTTTTTGCTTCTAAAGAATATTTGGAGTTAACTTATTCTATAAAGGAAATGTAATTTGTCTTATTCTTAATGACAGATATCTATAGCTGAGTTAGCCAGCTGGTATGCTTGGCTCAGGAGCGGGAAAATAAATATTTGAAATGGACAATAAGAGCACAACAGGAAACACACACGCGCGCGCGCATGCATGCACGCACGCACACACAAGGAGCCATGTTGTATTTGTTGGCTTCTTGCCGTGGTCAGCATCTGACTAGTTACTTATGTTTGGAGGAATCTCTGAATTTAGAGTGAGGGTTTACATGACATCCACACTTTCTTACACTAGCACAAACACACAGACACACAGGTGGATACAACACTGTCTCAAGCAGGTTGAAATAGGCGCACAGGCAAGAGATCAGAATGGCCTGTTCATGGAAACAGTTCCAAAGCCGCACTCAGCCGCCTAAAGAACACATGCTATGATTCAGTAATGATAACAATAACACACACATAGTCACCCAGACACACATGGCTTTTGTTATGGAAACACAGTTGTGTGTGCTTAAGGTTAGGCAGGGGAGTGGTGAAACTGTTCTCTCCGTAAGCCCAGTGTATCTGGATTTCATTTGCCTTAAATCAGATCTGTTTTAAGAGCAATTAGATCCAAAGCCCATGGCAGCCGTGTGTTTCTGAGGGTTGCTAGGGGCAACCAGGGGTACTCTGGAAACAATAGCACAGCTGTATAGTAAAATGTGCTGGCATATCTCTAATTCTGCTAACATGTGAAAGTGAGTTTACAGAAATTACTTGCCAAATTCTGTTAAGCGTGGGCTGTTTCATGCCAAATACCAAACACACACACACACACACACACACACACAAACACACACACACTAAAAGACATACCACTGTGAAAGGAGGAGCTTGTTAGAACATTGTGTTGCACCATGTTTAAAGGAACATATGATCCATCCATCCATTTTCTATATACCGCTTAATCCTCATTAGGGTCGCGGGGGGGCTGGAGCCTATCCCAGCCGACTTAGGCAGGGGACACCCTGGACAGGTCGCCAGTCCATCGCAGGGCCACACTTAGAGACAGACAACCAAGCACACTCACATTCACACCTACGGACAATTTAGAATCACCAATTAACCTCAACATGTTTTTGGACTGTGTGGGAGGAAGCCGGAGAACCCGGAGAGAACCCACGCTGCACGGGGAGAACATGCAAACTCCACGCAGAAAGATTCCGGTGCCCCCACCGGGACGCAAACCGGCAACCTTCTTGCTGCGAGACAACAGTGCTACCAACTGCGCCACCTTGCAGCCCGGAACATATGATTCAACACTTATATACTGTACTTACCTACAACATTGTAGCACATACATTTATTGTTGATTTAAACTTATTTTTGTTGTTAACTTTAAAAAAAGAAAAGAAAAAGAAAATAATTACCTACAAATAAACACTATAATGTCTGCTAAAAAAAAAAAAAAAAAAACTATATTCAACTAAATAATGAACTTGACTTTTGCAAACAAAACAAATACAAAACCAGTTTGGTTCATAGGCTGCACTTATGAACCAAACTGGTTTTGTTATAAAGTTATAATGTATTTTTTTCCTTTTCTTTGTTATGAACATGTAACTGCTCCAAATACTACCAAAGCGCATCAGTTTGTGTTCCTAGGATTTTATGGATACCGACATAATGTGATGTCAGTAAATCTAGAAGTACTTCCAGGCAGACACACTTCCTGTTTAAACTGTTACATAAGCTCCCTCGTAAAGACGCACCTTCCAAAACAACAAACTGCACAACAAAAACTAGAAGACACCACAATGTTATACCCTTGTTAATTCAAGATGCTGCTAGAGAAAGGAAGTTCTGGCTGTTGTGTGGAGCCGTGACCCTTTCTCCTTTAACATCCTCATATGAGTACAGGTCACAAAGATGTGGAAATCAATTTGAGAAACCCAGGTCAGAATAACTGGGATTGAGTGATAGGCGTTCATGCATCACACCTAAAATGTGATGTACAGAAAGACACTACAAGTGACTACACAGCTCAAACCAAGTTATATCTGAATTCTTCATAACCCATTTTCTCTCAGTAACCTGA